AAAAATTTACCCCGTTGTTAGATACATTTAATTTAATGGCCACCGTTTATAATTTTTTATTTTATTTATACATTTCTATAACTATTTATTTTTTAAAAATATATTTTTCCTTCTGGCTAATAAACATAAACTAAAATCACAAATGCCTCAAGCAAGACATTAAGACATACATTGACTCGAACAGACATGAATATCATATTTAATTTATTAAGAATGATGTGAGTGTGTCTGTTTTACTACGTCTAAGATGTCTCGCATAAATGAAGTGAAATTAAAAACAGAAATATTTTGGAAGCATTTTTTCATGTTGCGAGCTATACCTGCCTTGAAAATCAGCATTCGAAATCACAGATTTTAACTGCGCTAAATTATTCGTCTATCGACACTGATACGAAGTACAGAACTAATTCAACGAGGGAACAGGCGATTCATGCCTAGTCAGGCTAGTCTGACAGAAGGACATAAAGGAGGTCGATTCTCACTGGGTGCCCTGTAATTGTGGCCATGTGCCACACTAAGTTAAACTTAGTAATTAAGATTCTACTGATTCAGCTGTCTTATCCGAAAAAAGAACATTTATCAGTTTCGACCCTTTTTATTCCTCCCACTCTCTCTCTCTCTCAAGACACGCACGCACACACACACACGCGCGCATGCACACATACATACACACGCACGCACGCACACACATATGAATATACCGATACAAGTTTTATTAAAGGCCAACGAAAGTCGTTAATGAGGTTTTTATTATTTTTTTCTCCTTCCAGACGAATTATTTGAGAATTGCGGTTGTATATGTATTCTCCAAATTCTGAGCCCCAAGCTGAGCTGATAATAACTTTATTAAATCGCACAAAATACAAGAAACCCCGCAAATAGCTAATAAAAAAAAACATATAAAATTGTAAGATTATAAATATCAGAAGCCTTTAACCTGCAGAAAAAGACAATATTGGACGAAACGCGTCGGCTAATGTTACAGCTTTCCTGTTGTCTTTTACATTTATTTACACACACACACACACACACACACACACACACACACACACACATATATATATATATATATATATATATATATATATATATATATATGCCAGTACACATTCATGCACATATCCACACATATTTATATAAACAGAGACATACATCTCTACAGGTCTCTCTCTGTATCTTATCTAAGTAAAGAGAGAATGAGAGAGAGAGAAGGGAGGGGAATAAGTATCAGTTGCGATTATGTCTTTAATGTATTTAATAAATTTTGAAACCTATCTATCCAGTTATTTATCCGCATATACGAATATACATATCAATATATGTATGGAGAGGAAATTCTCCCTGTCTGAAAAACTTTATGAAATTCAACCGAAAGCAGCTCAATGAATGTCAAATATTGCCTTATAGGGAAACGGCTAATATTACCATTATTCGCTCACGCAATTTCAAGTTTTTCTTACGTGTGTTTAAATAGATATTTCTTGATTAAGGATGTAATGAAGATCGAACTTACTACACTGCACTTCCGCACTATCGCTGTACACTAGACATTAACATGTGTGACCATGTTTAAATTGAACTTTATGGTTTCATTCATATTGATTTTTTTTTCTTACATCTTATGAAACTTTTTTGAGCTCTGTTTAGGAACAGGATTTATAAATTATATCAGACAGAAAAGAAATGATAAAATGGGAAAAAAAACTCTCTCTCTCTCTCTCTCTCTCTATATATATATATATATATATATATATATATATATATATATATATATTTATAGTATAGCAATTTACAGCTATATGTAGCCGTAAGTTCTATGCTAACGGTTGATTCTTGAACTTCTCTCTTCCTGTTCCATGCTTTCCGGTTTAATCTGCAAAAAATTAAATGCAATGTCAATAGCTATCTACTGTCTTCCTAGTTACTCTTTTCTTTCTCTGCTTCTATTAATGTTTCTGTTCCCAATTTTGACACACCCTGTTACCTCTTGGGTTTTAGTGGCTTTACTGCCTTGCTTGGGGTGATACCGATTAAAAAAATATATATAAGACTGCCAGAGACCGTAAATTTTTCTTTAGTAAGATTTCTCAAACATTTAAGACTCTATACTAAAATGACTAATTATACTGTTTAATAAATAAACGGAGATACAAGTATCCATTAAAAATAACGTTTAAATTCTGTTGGATTAATAAAAATACAATCCATTACTTTATTAAGAAAATTAGTTTTGTTTACGTTTGGATATCAAATTGTGAAGATATGAAACATTTCGAGAGATCTATGACGAGAGAAGTTTTAGCTTAAAGTTACAGTTGCTTGATCAATTTGTTTTTTGTAGCTCAGTTGGTTAGAGAGTACCGGATCTAACGGTGTCTCCCTCTGTTCAGAGGGACGCAGATTCGAATCCTGCCAGAAAGTTTATTTTTTCTCGAACATTCAGGCCGGTAGATGAAAATAAATAAATATATGTTTAATAAATAAACGGAACGTCTACTCAAATATGAGTATCCACTAAAATAACATGTAAAGTGATATATATATATATATATATATATATATATATATATATATATATTATCAATTGATATTTTGTACATGCACTCTACATATAC